ACCTGATTCGAAGACACTATAATAACGACTGCAATTAGATTCATATGCGTGAAACTAGAATGGTGCCTCACAATAGCGCACAAGTAGTAAAACACGACCCTGCTGTATTCTCCTTGAACTGTGCAGTCATTTGTTCGCTTGCGAATTGGACGTACTGTTCATGTTGCTCTGGAACATTGCTCATTGATCGCGATATTGAATAATGAGAAGGGGAACATCAAGGAAGAAAAAACTCGAAAGGAGTTTACCATCCAGTTTCTGATTCAGGGCCAGTTCATACTCGTACCGCAGACGCATTTCCTGCTCCTTTAGGAGACGCTCGCAAATCATCCGTACCTTAAAGAGTATAATTGGGAGTTTCAAAACAACGGTTCCACCAAGGAGAATGAATTGACCATACCTGTTTGAGACTGAACTGAGGTTTCTCTGCAAGTGCTTGGTAATTGTTGGTGCCACTTTTTCGGACGCTAGAACCCTCGCCTTCTGAATCTGATCCGGACTGAAAAAAATACATGAGAGTCGGATAGTTGAGTACCAGTTCGTAAAAACTGAAATCTGTTTTTCTATAGTACGAGCCATATTTCGATTGTTTCGCATGGAACGACCACAACGGTGTCTATTTACGGTTTACGGACTACTTGAACTTTCTTCCATGGTCCTGCCACGAATGGCGGAGGGCACAGACAGTTAGAGAACGGCGCCTGGCTCGGCTCCAAATCCCAGGGAAGGAGGTGAGAGCCCTAGGACTAAGCCTTGTAGGAGGGAGGGACTTCGAGGTGGGTGAGCCAACTACAGTGTGGCAAAAGTTTGAATGTGTGTGATCACAATGGCCATGATAAGGTGAGAGAGCGCAGACGAGATGGATCTGAGGCGGCTCAAAGGACCGGGTTCAAGTAGTCCGTTAACCCTATTTCTACCTTTATAACCACCACGTAAACAAAACATAACCGTGAAGAAATTCCTCGCTGTGGCATTAAAAATACAAAGGGATATGCGAACGCTGGTATTTACAAAACACCGCTTAGACCTTATTTGTGCACAATCAAACAATCTTCCACATTGTGCGAAAACTGAACGCTTTATACAAAGGAGATGAAGCGAGAAATCGTCCTCATTTCCTTTCATAAGCACCATCGCGAGACCGTTTCGCATATTCATTGAGCAACAAAAAAGCATGCCCTAATAAAAACCACCGGAACTCAGCATGAACGAGCGAGCAAGCACGCGATTGCACCGTAAATACCATTGGCTGTGAGCGCATGGGCACGCGATAAACCTCGAAGGCATCGCTGTCGCCTTTCAACTAATCATAAATAAATACTGAGGGAAGCACCCCGTATGTTGCATGTTCCGCTCCTTATAACACCTGCATCGTCTTTCGGTACCAGTAAACATAAACTTGAAAAGCTCCATCATCGCACTTTTCAGTGCTCATTACGTCCCTCTCCCATTACGGAAAGCGAACTAAGAGCGCACTTACCACAGAGGACCAAACTTTGACAGAATCCATTTCGAGCATATACTTCGATTCAACGAGCTCCATCGAAGGATTCTAATTTCGCTCTCCACTCAACGGATCTTATCCTCGCGGCCATGGATTATTCAACAGTGCCATAAGAAACTTACCATACAGCTTAGCGTAAGGGCGCTTGTGAAGGAGGTAAGGACCACTATAAGTAAAAGAAAAGCGCAGGCCTCACGCTTGACTCAAAGCTCTTTCATTTCTGGCCGTTCCTTTACAAAATGAGCCGTGAATCAAAGAAGGTTCTACTTCATAAAAACTAGATAGATTCGTCATCTTTAATTCCAGAAAGAAGCTATCAACCATGTACTAATTCGAATCCTATTCTTCACCTTGTTAAGGTAACCGTTCCGCAATTATGGTTAGATGAAAATGTCAAATGCGCACAATCGCCGGTGCGAAAGGATAGTGATATCGATTGTACGTGCGATACGCAACTAAATGTGGACACCATTGCGTGACGGAATGAAACTCGATACCACTATCATTCACGATTCCAAAGAATGTTCAATAAATTATCAATAATGACGATCCCGAAAGTGACTTCACACGAGGTCAAAACAGAAACATGATCGCACACTTGTGCACTTATACCTCAATTCCATTCTAATCAACCATATTTTTCAACTCTCATTTGAGCTCAACCGATGTTTCAGTTTGCACACGAACAGCCAAACATCTTTACCTGAGGAGGGAAATTTGGAATACGGTAGTCATTCCGCGGAGTATTCTCATCCTCGAGCTTTACATCTGAGCAGTTTCTTCTTGGTAAAAGCTTTCGACGCTGCCCATTACGAACCTCCGAACGTAGATATGCATCTAGTTGCGACTCCGACAACTGACATTTACCTGCGACTGCTGCGAACGGAGAATCGTCCTGAATGAAAAAATAAATACTCATTTGTTTACTGAGAACAATTCGAACTAATTATCTCTAAATGCACTGAGATATTTAACCATATGCCCAGTGACATATGCTATGAGTTCTTGTCAGCCCATGTGAAATCAGAAAGCAGCCGATACTGGAAAGCCATTGAGAACAATAATGAGATTATTAAGGAACACATTCGGAAGATGACATAAGCCACTGCCTATTATTAGGTTCCGCCCGATGCTCCTCAAATTAACCAGTGACAAGACTTTCGCAGGTAAACTTCATTTCGTACAGAGTGACACCTGAGTAAAAACGTTTTCATTATTACAAAACGCCTCACTTCTCAGTTGAGCCATCCGAAAATGAAAAAGATCATCTCAAAATCAACAGCAACTACACTGTGCTACGCCAGCGTTATCGCTTTTTGAAGCGTTCCTTGTTTTAAATTGCTTTTTAATAACATGGCCTTGGGTCGCAGCTAAGTCGCTACCGATAGCAAAGAACCTTTTACCGAGTTTTTGCTGATAGCCGCATGAAACACGATCACTGCCGCGAAGAAGTTCTTACGAGCCTCGGCATTTCTACCGGCTATGGTTACTCCGTCGCCTCGTGAGTCGGAGCTGGGGGAGGAGGCCCCCTATCGCCAAAAAAAGGTTAAGGCGCCGGTTCGGTCCTGTGCGCCGTCGCACGTACGAATCTGGCGTCTTCAACACACTTCTGATCTTCCTATTGCCATCTACGAAGGCGCGCAGCAAAAGGAAAAAGGTTCCGTCCTCGAAAGTTACGCGGTCGCGTCGGGTTCGAAGCGCGTGATTCGTGCGCAAGAAAAGCAATCCTGTGCAACAGTCTGACACATAGCGACTTTCGTCAAATAATGAGCGACGGCATCGCAAACAACTACAAACGCTGGATGAGGTAATAGCCTTGAGGAGACTTCACGGAAAAAGCTCCGCCTTCACATCTAAAAACGACAAACGATGAAATTAACCCATTCGTGACAATGTCAGCCACCGGTGGCTGACAAAGCTCTCACTCGGGACAATGGTATTACTGTGGCTGCAGGGCTTGAAATGGAATTTGGAAAGTTTTCTTCCATGGAAAGAATCTTCATACCCTCGCTCATCTACGCCAGCCCTGGGCAGAGGAAATCTCCCTTCACTCGGATTTTATTGAAGAAAAATCTCCTGACGCTGCTGCTATTGCGCAATCCTGCGCGGTCGCGAATGGGTTAAAGAATCTTCCACGGTCGAAATAGATATCATCATTTTGTCTTGTGTGTAGGAGGTTAGTATTATCGAAACTAACGCTTATGTTCCGTTTTTTTTTGCTATGCTCATGAGGCTAGGGGCCTAAGAGGTATCGTTTTCTGTGGTAATGGAGGCGGAGCATTTTCCGTGGAAGATTCCTTTAAACAATGCAATCGACTGAACAAAGAACCTACTAACAGCGGTACGGGATTTTTGTAATTGAGTGTCTCACCACGTTGATTCTGAGCCTAAATCGCAATCCCAAAGTACAAGCAGAATCGACGCACTATCGGAAGATGGGAAAGGTACTACTTGGACTAATTCCTAGAAGGTGAGAAGCGCGGAGCTCGAGCGGAAATGAATGGGAATTGCACAGGCACCTCGGAGTTTCGCATCTCCACCCCCACTCCTATAAGATCGGTTCCCTTGAAATAAATGCGAAAGATGCAAGGTCTCAGGACATCTGTCAACCGTGAGCCTTGGCGGTTCAGCGTTTTGTAGTGATGTCTGGGAGCTCTCACAAGTGCACACTATCACAGCATCTCCTCTTTCTTTATCTTCTTCAAAAGGCTTAGTCCCAATAAGACACAAAGTGTGTGCTTTTCCAGCTACGCTCTCACCCTTTGGTTGACAGAAGCCTTGTAACCAAGATGCAACCAACCTTATTGACAGCCTGAGCAAAACTGCTAGTAGATGGTAGATTTGCGGCTATTGTACCCATTTGAGGACGAAACGGTGAGCAATGGGCTGCAGTATGACGAGCGCGTTTCGCCTCATGAGGGAAACTCTCATCGGCCAAATACGAGTCATACTCATGCGGACGCTTCAATGCAAGTCCACAAGCCATTTCTACTCTGAAATTCATGGAAACGATAAAATAAATTTAATGGGAGCAATATGAGCACAACGGAGAACGAGTTGCTGACGAGAAAACGGAGCGAGAACGAGCAATGAGGCTGTGAGTACGGGTTAAATGATGAAAATGAGTCACACTCTGTGATAATAGGTCATTTTCAATATCCTTTGCTAAGATTGATATTCACATTGTTTCTAGAGAAAGGTATAGCCCGTTTACGTGCAAAAGATCGATCTCGAGTATGCTCAGTCAGGGAGAATAACTCAAATGCGCAACGATAGAACTTTCTGTACAGGTTTCTTGTTGACACATCAAGGTGGTAAAATGGGAACAAAGCAGTTTTGACCAAGTTCGAACATCCACTGCAGAGCGTTCAACAGGGAGCATTTATGCATTATCTGGTAAAAGGTCATAATTGAAGACTTTATATGCTGCCATTTGGGGACTCACACCATGTCCCCCGATCAACGCACTTCTGCGAAATTGGGGAGCACAGCTATGATTTCATATATTACAGGGCAACTTCAACAGCACAATCGACTCCACTCAACGTCGGAGACGATAGTCGTGTGGGAGACCATTCTTGAGTAAAGGAATCTTTCGAACTACTTGAATTTTCTTCTATGGTTTTGCCACGAATGGCTAGAGCACAACCAATTACAGAGCGAAGCCTGTCTTAGATCCTAAATTGTAAGGAGAAGTATGAGCGCCCTAAGACTGAGCCTTGAAGAGGAGAGGCTTTGGGGTGGGTGAGCCAGGGTGGGTTCACTAGGAGGACACGCGGCGCCGGCGTGTCCCTCCCAGGTCAGACCCAAGCTTAGTCCCATCACGCTTAAAAAATTACGCCGTCGCGTGGTTGCCGGCCCCCTCTCCCCCCCCCAACTCACTAAGCGCCGCCCTGATGCTGCTGAAAATGCCTGCCAAAGTATAGGCAAATTGCGAAGTTTTATAGTAGCATATAGCCGGAAGCTTCTAGAATATTCTGACTTTTAAATTTGACTGATGTTGTTGCTGTTTTTATTGTTCATAGATATACCCCAGTC